TCCAAATACCATTATGCACGACCGCTAATGCACGTTGTTGCCAGCTTCTTCCTACTTAAATGGCGTGCTGAAAAAAATGCATATTTCGTGAGAGAGAGAGGAGAGAGAGAGAGAGAGAGAGAGAGGGGGGGGGTGATGACTGTGGCTCCCATACCATGCCTACAACCAACACACTCTCCTAGTCTCAGCTCCACTTGTGTGTTGGAGGCGTGTGGCTACCTTCACCTCGCTATTGTACCTCGCTGGTCACGCTACGTACTCTATAAATCCATATCCTGTGGCCTTGTATGTTCACTGTAACCGATTTCACTATTACTGGGTACTGAAATTGTATTACCTATCTATCTATGACCGATTTCGACCGATTTCGACCGATTTCGACCGATTTTGACCCTGTAATCAAGGCCACAGCTAACAACGTCTGAGAAACACCCTTCAGGACCAACCAACACTGAGACTTCTTGGTGGGGAAGGGAAGCTGAGAGGGGAGAGAGGATGGGGAGTGGGGAAGAGAAGCTGACGGCCGAGGGTGGAGAGAGAGAAGAAGCTGATGACTTGGGGAGAAGAAAAAGTTGACGTCTGGAGAGAGAGAGAGAGAGAGAGAGAGAGAGAGAGAGAGAGAGAGAGAGAGAGAGAGAGAGTGAGAGAGAGAGAGAGGAGAAAGCTAACGACTGGGGAGGGGGGAGAGAAACCACAGCCGCAGGGGAGGGGGGCAACCTTTAATATCAGCGGTAAACAAATGTCCTCCATCATTTTCCTGACCTGACCTTTTGACGTCATAACAGCTGAGTCATGTTTATTGTTCTGCTGTAGAAAGTGATCAGTCTTGATTAATTGATCCTTTAAGCTGAGACATTGTTGAGGTCTTAAAGGAAGTTGATATTTTATTATGTGTGTGTGTGTGTGTGTGTGTATGTGTGTGTGTGTGTGTGTGTGTGTGTGTGTGTGTGTGTGTGTGTGTGTGTGTGTGTGTGTGTGTGTGTGTGTGTGTGTGTGTGTGTGTGTGTAAGTGTGTGTGTGTGTGTGTGTGTGTGTTTTAACCCTTTAAGGACAATCTTATATCCCTTGAAGACCTGTATATTAAACCGTTAAGAACAGGTAAACTAAAACATAATCAATAGGGGTTAAACCATCGTCTCACACAGGTACAGTAACACCGTCTCTGTGGTATTATAAAAGTCTTCGTTAATGATGTTGTTTGATATCTTTGTCTTATTAAATGATTCAGTTAACAAATTCTTCTCGTTCCTTGGTCTTCCTGGTGGGGTGAGGGGGCATAGCTACCCTTCCCCTCTTCACCTCTCCCTTCCTACCTCTCCCACCTTCCTCCTCTCCCACCCTTCCTACCTCTCCTCCCACCCTTCCTACCTCTCCCACCTTCCTACTCTCCCCACCCCTTCCTACCTCTCCCACCCTTCCTACCTTCCTCCCCACCATTCCCTCCTCTCCCTACCCTCCTCTATCCCCCTCCCCATCCCCCTTGCATCCTATTTCTCCCTCCTCTCCTCCTTCTCATCTCCCTTTCCCCGACTACCTCTTCTACACCCTCTCCGCCTCCCCATCTTCTCTCCTCCTTCTCTCCTCCTTTCCTCCTCACTCCTCTTTCTCCCTCACCCTTTCTCCCCTCACCCCACTTATCCAGAGAAACTCGGTTCACCAAAACAAACTTTTCACATAAAACCACAGCAGAAATAAACTCTCCCGAAAAACGCATTAGGAACGACCGCCCAAGGAGACCTTTCACAAGAGTTCCACTAACTTGTGGAAAAAATTCTCTCACGCTACGTCATAGAGGAGCTGGAGAACTGTGGGGAGATGAGAACTCTGGGGGAGATGATAACAGGAGGTGATGAGAACAGAGGGAACAAGAAAAGAGGAGTAAGAATATGAGAACTAAGGTGGGAAGATAATAGAGAATAAGAGAGAAAACCTAAAACTCACTCCAGATTTGTTTTAGAAATATTAGCCATAATTTTGGACATAACATTCATAAAACGTATCATCAACATTAATTAACATCATTAAAAATAATAACCATCATTAGTGTTGGTGTGAGAATATATAATTAAACTGAACATTCATATATATTATTTTAAGTCTCATCATTATTAAACATAACGACTGAACTGCTTAATACCATCCCGACCGAGTTTTTGGTGTTTATTCTATGGGTTTAACTTAAACTTAACCTAACCTAACCTAACCTAACCTAGCCTAAACTAACCTTCACTTAATATGACTTACGATCAAATTCTCCCAAAGTTTACCTAAGACCACCAGACTTGTTCACGTGTACCAGAATTTATGCCAGACTTGAGTGAGGAATGGAAGAGGTGGAGGGATGAATTACTAACCAGGCGTGAATGTCTGGTCTGGCCTTGGTGAGTGGTGGTGGTGGAGTGGTGAAGTGGTGGAGTGGTGGAGGTGAAGTGGTGGAGTGGTGAAGTGGTGGAGTGGTGATGTGGAGCGAGTGAGGGAGAGGTGAGAGGAGAGAGAGTAATGAAGGAAGAGGAGAAGAGAATGGAAGTGAGAAACATACAAGGAGTGAGAGGTTCATAGGATGATGGGAGAAGAGGAGAGAGAATGGAAGGAGTTAGGATAATGGAAGAGAAGGAAGGAAAAATAGGAGAAAATAAAGATATTAAAGGAATAGGTAATAGTGATGAGGAATGGATACAGGTGTCACATCTTTTCCACCATCTTCCACCCACGGTTAAGAGGTGTGTGTGTGTGTGTGTGTGTGTGTGTGTGTGTGTGTGTGTGTGTGTGTGTGTGTGTGTGTGTGTGTGTGTGTGTGTGTGTGTGTCTGTCTGTCTGTCTGTCTATGTATTTATTCATTTATTTATTCAATTTTATTCGAACTTTTCATTAAAACAATCAACCATGATTAATTTTCGTCTTGTTAATTATAACAAACATTAAGAATTACAATACAATATTTTAAACCTTTTCACTTAATTTACTCGACTTTACAGAATGTTTAAATGCCCTCTTACTCTTGTTAATATTTATGAGGTTAGGGTCAGGTCAGGTCAGATCAGGTCATCAAGGAGGCTAATGGCGGCCATCTTGACATGTTCAGCCATCAGCAGCCGTAAACTGACTCACATCCTCCACCTTATTCACCTCAGTCTCATCATCCTCCTCCATTTCTCCACCCTCCCTCCACCCTTGAACCCCCTCATATCCTGTCTACCAACTAAAGGTTAAAATTCCTTATGAAATTATTTTTCCGGAGAACTCACAGATCCTTCAGTCCTTTGCAGGATTCTCTCATTAACTTGGTGAAGGAAAATTGAAATACACTTTGCTTAATTAAGACTTTATTAAAATAACTCTAGCGCTAAAAAACTATATTCAAGGTATAATATGTTATCATTAATTTACTAGTACAAAGATTCGTCTCTAAAAATGTCTCCAGTAAGTGTAGCAGTGAAGGTGTATTGTTGGCCCAGCAGACAGTGTACACAAGAGCCACCTGGAGATGGTGTCAAGGCTGGTAAACTCTACGGTCGCCGCCAGCCACATTTCACTATCGCCGCCCCGCTCACTGTCCCCGCCCTGTGTGTTAGGTGTGAGGTTACAAGACCGGGGGAGGTGCTTACTGTATTAATAAAAGCTTGATAAAGTTAAATCACATTAAATCAAGACAAAACAATGATACGTTAATGAATCTGACAGGAAATAAAATTAAAAAGTTAAAAAGAAAGAAAATGTTTCACTTAATATCAAAATAGGAAGATTAATCAACACTTAAGATATTTTTCCTTCACTTCTTCATCTTCGTTATAAAATTTATGAGAATTAAAACACAAAAGTAAGATATATGAAGATAACTCCAAGTTAAAACACGACTCTCGAAACACTGGTTGCATTCCTGGGCTTAACTGTTCCATATAGGCGGTGCAAAATGAATCAGCATCAGTAAATACGGGATCGAGTGCTCCATCTGTCACCAGCCTCGACAGCGATAAGAGGATCCGATTCGATATAAACCTTCCTCGTCCAGTAAATGCGGCAACATTGTCGAGTCTATAACGGGCAACATAATCACCACAAAGGATTCGAGAACATTTTCAACACCTCGGAATTGAAGGTATTTAGATTATGGATTTAGATACTCCATCGAGAGAATAAATTCCAGAAAGTGACAATAGATAGTTTCCAACATTTCACAAGTGTATAAACTGCAGGGGACGATTATATTTTGTTTCAGAACCACAGCTGGGTATAGATTTCAGAACCACATGATAGTTATAGATCGAGACTACAACTGGGTGTAGATCCTAAAAGCTTACTAGACTATAGATTCCAGAAGTAATGAGACTATAAATTCCTAAACATATGATCGTATGTGTTCAGAAAGCAGAGGAGAGTGTTGTAAATTTATTAGCACAGGAAGCTATAAGTTTCAGAAAGCAAACAAACTATAAATTCCAGAAGTTATACTCCCGACAGATACCATTAGTGTACGGGACAAAACATATATCTAATGGACTCTCAATATAACGGACTTCTTCTCCATGTACAGTAATCCGTTAGATGGGGTTTTCTACATCTAACGGACCCTTGATATAACGGACTTTCAATTCGATATAGTTCATAAGATGGAGGTTTTACATCGAACGAGCCCTCGATATAACGAACTTTCCTCTCCATATAGTTCGTTAAATAGAGGTTTCATCAGCAAGTAAAAATATCTTTACTTTATTGAAGAAAAATATGTAACTATTGTGTATAAGTAACAAAACCATCGTGTAAAAGTAACAAGACTTGGGTGTATAAGAAACTAGACTGAGGTGTATAAGAAACAAGACTGAGGTGTATAAGTAACAAGACTGAGGTGTATAAGTAACAAGACTGGAGGTGTATAAGTAACAAGACTAAGTTGTGTAAGTAAAAGACTGAGGTGTATAAGTAACAAGACTAAGTTGTGTAAGTAGGAAGAGAAAAAAAGAACACTGTTGTCTAGTAACTAAATAAGCTTAACAGTATCCAACACCATTATCTGAAGCATCTGGGAAGACGATCCAACTCTCACGTTCCAAATAGTCTGAGGAGGAGATCTGTTCAGGGGGATAGAGAGAATCGGACTGTTCTTCGTCCTCTCCCTCTTCCCCTTCTTCTCCATCTGCCTTCCTCTTAGTCTTCTCATCTTCCATGCCAATACCATCCATATTCCTCCTCTTCCTCTTTCCTCCTCCTCTTCATCATCCTACTTCCTTCTTATCTTCATATTTATTGTGTGTTCCTTACTCCTCTTATGTTGTAGTAATTTCTTTCCTGTTAATATTGGTCATTAATCCCTCAAGTATTGTGTTGTGGAGTGAACGTGCATGTGTGTGTATGTGTGTGTGTGTGTGTTGTGTGTGTGTGTGTGTGTGTGTGTGTGTGATATTCCGTAGAAATTTACATTATCAAGTGGAGTTAGTGTCGACCCTATCATACCACGAGGCTTCTCTGCACCCTGACCTCCCTTCACTACTACTCCCGGCCTCCCTCACCTCTGCACCCCGGCCTCCTCACCTCTGCACCCCCTGGCCACCCCTCACCTCTGCACCCTGACCTCACCTCTGCACCCTGACCTCCCTCACCTCTGCACCCTGGCCTTCCCTCACCTCTGCCAACCCTCCTGGCCTCCCCTCACCTCTGCACCCCTGGCCTCCCTCACCTCTGCACCCCGGCCTCCCCTCACCTGGCCTCCCTCACCCCCGGCCTCACCCCTGGCCTCCTCACCCCTGGCCTCCTCACCCCGGCCTCACCCCCCGGCTCCTCACCCCGGCCTCACCCCCCGGCCTCCTCACCCCCGGCCTCACCCCTGGCCTCACCCCGGCCTCCTCACCCCCGGCCTCCCCCCTCACCCCCTGGCTCACCCCTGCCTCACCCCCTGCCTCTGACCTCTCCACCCCTGGCCCCAGCTTTTGGTTACCTCCAGTTAGAAATAAACCCAAAATATGTACAGCAATTCTCAGTAAATTCCAACTACATCAATAATATTTCACCTTCAATGACGAACTGGACGATGGAGGATAAAGGTAAAAGAGAAAGGGTGAGAGGGAGAGAAAGGAAATTGAAAGGGAAATGGAGGAGGATGAGGACAGGGAGGTGAATAAAGGGGTGGATTTAGGAGTCAGTCGACGGCTGGTGAGGGATGAACACGATGCCACCAGCCACCATGATGACCAGCTCGGGGGAAAATTATTCTATTGGGAGGGAAAATTATTTTATTGTGGGGAAATTTATTCTTGCGTGGAAAAATTATTCTTTTGCAGGGAATATTCTCTGGGGGAATTTTTTTTTTCTAACGAGGGAAAAAGTATTTATTTTGCGGGAAGTTATGTACAAAGGGGGAAAATTAACTTTCGCAGAGAAATTATTCTTGGCAGAGGGAATTATTCTCGCGCCGATAGTTATTCTACCGCGGAGGGAAATTTCCTGCCTGGCGGGGGAAGACCTCGAAAGTTTTGAAGTGAGGGACGGGGACGAGAGAACAAGTTTGAGAGGATAGCAAGAATAATGGTTTGTTGGTGGAGCAACTCGTACACACACACATATCCCATTAATCTTTTTCTTATACCAATAGTGAAGGCAGCCATCAGATTCTTATTTACATCACCGGGTTTCTTTATAATACATACACTAATATCAGCACGTCACCGGCAGGAAGAGCTAATACACCATTCCTCGGAGACGACGTGTAGCAGACTGACTTATGCATCAAGATGGTCGCTTTATTTATATAAAGATGGACCGCCACCTCTCTCTATCATCCTGAGTTGACGGTTAGTTAGTGTGAGTTAGTGGGTGAGTGTTGTTGTTATGAGTTGTTCCTAGTTTCTGTTTACATTTTATATACACACATACATACATACATATACATACATACATACATACACATACATACATACATACATACATATACATACATACATACATACATTTTCGCACGTACACACATGGACAAACATACAGTCATACAATAAACATACAACTCACAACCATATTGTATAACACACGTATCGTTCACACTCTTCCAATATGTCCCTATTAAAAACAGTTCCTATGGTTTTATATCATGATAAATCCTGCTCTTGATTGTTCATAACGGCCCCTAGTTAGTACATGGGGCCTATCATAACGGGCTCTAGTTAGTACATGGGGCCCATCATAACGGGCTCTAGTTAGTACATGGGGCCCATCATAACGGGCTCTAGTTAGTACATGGGCCCATCATAACGGGCTCTAGTTAGCAACATGGGGCCTATCATAACGGGCTCTAGTTAGTACATGGGGCCCATCATAACGGGCTCTAGTTAGCACATGGGGCCATCATAACGGGCTCTAGTTAGTACATGGGGCCCATCATAACGGGCTCTAGTTAGTACATGGGGCCCATCATAACGGGCTCTAGTTAGCACATGGGGCCCATCATAACGGGCTCTAGTTAGTACATGGGGCCCATCATAACGGGCTCTAGTTAGTACATGGGCCCATCATAACGGCCCTAGTTAGTACATGGGGCCCATCATAACGGGCTCGAGTTAGTACATGGGGCCTATCATAACGGGCTCTAGTTAGTACATGGGGTATCATAACGGGCTCAGTTAGTACATGGGCCCATCATAACGGGCTCTTAGTTAGTACATGGGCCCATCATAACGGGCTCTAGTTAGTACATGGGGCCTATCATAACGGGCTCTAGTTAGGACATGGGGCCATCATAACGGGCTCTAGTTAGTACATGGGGCCCATCATAACGGGCTCTAGTTAGTACATGGGGCCCATCATAACGGGCTCTAGTTAGTACATGGGGCCATCATAACGGGCTCTAGTTAGTACATGGGGCCTATCATAACGGGCCTAGTTAGTACATGGGGCTTATCATAACGGGCTCTAGTTAGTACATGGGGCCCATCATAACGGCTCTAGTTAGTACATGGGGCCTATTGACAGGGTCCCACTCTGTCACCCCGCAGTCGACGCATTATAACAATCACATGTGTTGGGTGGAGGACGTAACAAATTACATCAACTTCCTTCCATAACTTTAATAATACCTAAGTAATTTTTTCCTCTGCTTATATTACGCTTCATCTATAATGCTTCCTCGAGAGACTAATAATAATGTGGTGTTTCATCTCTCCAGCCCCATAGTTCACCTCAAAGTCTGCCGCATTGTCTCTCGTGTACAGAATCAGTACCAAAGATGAATATAGACGGAATTTTTAGTCTTGTGTTTTACGGGAAGAGAATCGAACCTGGGAGTATAAGTACATACATACTCACTGTCTCAGATAATAGAGTTGTACCAATTTTTACTTATATGGTTTCTGGGAGGTGATGCTCATTTGTTTTCTTATTATTATTCTCGTTACCTATACACATTGGCTTCTGTTACTTATTGTCTACTGAGAGGTGATGCTCATTTGTTTTTGTTATTATTTACCTATGCACATTTACCTAGTTACTTATAGCTATGAGAGGTGATTTAATTTTTCTTCTTCTTGTTACATCTATACACTTTGGAGTTTATATTCCTTTGGGTCTTGAATTTATAGTTTCTTATAACTATACTTGCTTTTCAGATTTTTTTTCGAATCTATAATCTGGTTTTGTTAGAATTAAAATAGTTTACATTCTTCATATCGTGAGTCCATTATTTGAACTGTAAACTATTCTGAGTTTCTGAAATCTGTATTCAACCACACATCCAGATTTTCCTTGATGACATTTCTCGAATTAATAATCTGAAATCTGTTGTGCTTCATATGTGGAAATGTTCTCAGTCAGACAGTCCCTAATATTGTGTCTCACGTCCCGCCATGTTATAAACTCAACAATATTCCTGGACTTGTTATATTTAATGCATCAGGAGTTTATATCGTACTAGATCCTCTTATAGTTCCCAGGCTGGTGACAGACACCGTACTCGATCCTATGTTTGTTGATTCACGTTTATTTTTACCATCTATGTGACAATTATGACTTAATATTTACCAGTGTTTTCAAAGTCTATTACACCAACTTAGGTGTTTTATTTGTTGTTTTATTTTTAAAGTATTAAATAAATACTGAGTCGTTTAGTATTTGTTTTGTTTTACTGAAGTGATCATAATGCAAATATTCTTTCTTCTTTTCTTTATTAATATTATTTTCATCCAACTCAATAACACAGTCTTTCATGTTGATTTAATGTAATTTACCTTTATCAAGCTTTTATTATTAATACAGTAAGCACCCCCCCAGGTAGCACCTCCCACACACCTAACACACAGGGCGGGACAGTGAGCGGGGCGGCGGGTAGTGAAATGGCTGGCGGCGACCGTAGAGTTTACACCAGCCTTGACACCATCTCCGGGGCTCTTGTGTACACTGTCTGCTGGCCTCATGTCTTCTGTTGTAACATATTCTACTGCTGATGAAAAGTAGAGTCTTATTATCTATTTATCTATCTATCTATCTATCTATCTATCTATCTATCTATCTATCTATCTACACTTTTATTCTCACCTAACCTAACCTTTCTTCACACAACACTTCACTGATAAGATATAATACACTTTAGTCGCTTCAAGAATCTGTGAGTCTTGGGAAAATTGACAAAAATCATAAAATATTATTACAGTTTAGTTGTCTGGGGGACGTGAGATCAAAGGGGAGAGGGGAGGAAAATGAAGGGGGAAAATGTGACGAATAAATGGATAAGGAGGAGGAAGAAGATGGAGGAGGAGGATTATGAGTAAATCTATGTTTAGCGATGGGTCAAAAACATGTTAATTTGGCTGCCCATCCGTTAAAAACGCGTTAATTCTACGCCCATTCGTCAAAGACATGTTAGGTTGAAAGACTATGACACTCGACGAAAGATACAATAAAAAGAAATAAAAATAAGGTGGAAAATAAAGAAAGTTTTGTAAGAAAGAAATTAAAATTTTCGTATATTGGAGGAATTTTTACAGTCGTGAATTTACATTTTGTCCAATTTGCAGTTGAGTCCGTGCAGATGTTAACGTTTAGGTGAGTGGGTGAGGTGGAGTGTGGAGTGATGGGTAGTGAGTGAACGAAAGTGGGAAAGAGAGAGATTGGGTTAGTGAAAATCAGTAAATGAGAATGAAAGTGAGAAAGATAGTGCAAATAAGATATAAAAAGAAAGACATAGAGAGTAAATGGAGCACCA